TATTTCTTGTAAAATCAAAAACAAGTAAACGTATATAAAACTGAAGTTTCTAGTATTATATTATTTTTTTTTAAATTATTTGTACGATACAAGATAGTACAGGGTACAAATTCAACCACTATCACAAACACATATTAACATTGAAAAATGTACAATGGATTTCGGGTCCCCTACCAATGCCGCAAATAAGAACCGCGCATCATTAAAGCCCGCTTCATATGTAGCGGCTTATCGTGCTATGGACTTTGTTGTTTTTTTTAAAAGAATTTTGCCGGCGACAGCGTGTGTTTGATTGTAGGGAAATAGAACTCGGCATTGACGATGGTTAAAAAATACAACTATAAATAACTGTTTTAAATATGTAAAGAATTTGTCGACAATTTTTTAAGCCCCTTTTTGGTCCCCATCCCCTGCCCCATCCGCCACAGTACACTTTGGAGGGTCGGTCAAACAGTTACGTGTCCTCTATTTAGCTATCAAAGGAAGGGGGGGGGGGGGGCAACGAGTCAAAGAAGTCACTCAAAATTTGAAGAGTTGCCTATATTTTACACTGTAGTTCGTGTAATGGATTTTATCTTTTGCGGAAGAGCGTAGTATAGTGACTGTAAAATAAAGATAATCGTACCGAACTACAGTGTTTTTCTTTTACAAACCAAATATTAAGGCAAAAATTAAATTCAAAATTAAAAAAAAAAAATTAATTTTGGTCAGCCGTGGGCCCCTAAACGGCTTGCCCCCCCCCCCTCCCCGCGCATTGCGGGGTCTGGCGGGACTGTAGTTCCGCCCCTGTTCATCAGGTAAATGAACAACTACTGACTAGTGTCTTTAACAAAATGTGCAGAAGTGGTCAGTTTACAGTTCATAGACGGTTCGTTAATCTATGCATTACATCTTATTGTAAGAGTAAGGGTGTGGTGAGGGGTAGAAGTGAGGGGTAGGGGGGAGGGGGTGGGGGAGAGTTGGAAAGGGAAGGGGACAAGAAAGCGCCGATAAACATCTACATCAATAGTGCCGACTTTTTCCGATCGTCTAGAAGACCAGGATAGTCGCCTCGCCGCAACATTTCCCCAGCCCGATTTCAAAGCGTACCGGCAGAGTCAAATTTCAGATGCTTCGTCTTTGAAGTTGTCTATATGTCTGCATGGCGGTCTCTCGAGCTATATATAGTCTGTGCATTTTTCTCAAAGACGTTTGCCGACTATCGTGTTTGTTTGTAACTGTAGAAGAAAGATAACTCGACCTCCACCTAATTTTTTTTTAAATTTTTTAAAAATAATTTAGCCAGGATTTTTGTGCCCCCAATTGGTCTGGCCCCCCCCCCCCCCCGCATTGCGGGGTCTGGCGGCACTGTAGTTCCGCCCCTGTTACGAACTTACAATAAATGATCGTGCTCAGGTTTTTTCTTTCTTTTTTATAAAACAGCTTGAGTTGTCTTTGTCGGCTAATACAATCATAGGCGTATAGCTGGTAATGGGGAGGGGGAGGGGCCTTCCCATTTCAGGGTCATTTTCTGACAATTGGCGCCTTTTGAAATTTATGCAACTTAAAAATAAAAAGGCGTTTAAAAGTTACCATTGCAAAAAATAGAAATAATCTATGATTTAAAAAAAAAGCTAAGTGCTTATGTCTGACATAATGGATTTAGATCTAATGTTAGCCATCTGTTTGAGGTCTTGTAAGTGACGAAAACCGTAATTATCTTGTAATCGATTTGTTAAACAAGTTAATAAAAAGTCTAGTGACAATTTAAGCGCAATTTCCTTATGTTATCAGGTGTTGATTGGGGCTTAATACCACACGGCTCTTAACGCCCTCCTTTACCCTATGCATTTATATTGTGTTATTGATTGTTTGTGAGGTAATTTTAATAGTATAAAACCTTTTTCCCACACTCCCAAAGTTCATCCCATTCAGCCATTGCGGCTCGCGCAGTTCGCTGCTAAGCCAACCAGGTCACATGATTTACCCTCCTCCTCCTTCGCCTGCAGCTCGCTGCTAAGCCAGCCAGGTCACATGATTTACCCTCCTCCTCCTCCTTCGACTTCCACTGCCTTCTTTGCTATATAGTACTGTAATGTATTATGTATAATGTAATTTTAAAATGTTTGTTGCCGAGATATGGGCCAAAAATTGCATTTTTCCGAGGTTTTTTGGCTTTTACAGGAAGGAATTCCGGGATTTTTTTTTGGCCCACAATCATCCTCGGAACTTGCTTAACATATTTGCTTTTGGAACTAGTCCTCGATATTGCTTCGCTGAGGAGGAGATACGACTTACAGCTGCGGACATTCCCAGAAATGACGAGTTAATAATCGAAAAAATAGAAATATAAACACATGAATAAACAAACAAGTTAATAAAAAGTCTAGTGACAATTTAAGCACAATTCCCTTATGTTATCTAAAAATAGCTCTGCCAAAAACTGCATTTCTTTTTCGAGGTTTTTTTGGCTTTTCCGGGAAATCCAGGAAGGTATTCCGGGAATTTTTTTGGCCCACAATCATCCTCTGAACATGCTTAACATATTTGCTTTTGGAACTAGTCCTCGATATTGCTTCGTTGAGGAGAAGATACGACTTAAAGCTGCAGACACACATCGGACACACATCCATCCTTGACGAGTTAATAATCGCAATTGTCCGTATGGAATAGTGCGCAATATTATTAGTACTTTAAAAATTTACATTAGTTTTTTGAAAAATCGGAAGTAGCGTAAATTACTACTTCCGGTCAACGGAGATTACTCAAAATTTAACAGAAGGTAGAAAATTAGATCTTTTACACACATGTGAAATTTTATTTATCTATCTGAAATAGTACTCAAGTTATTGGCTTTTGAAAAATTCAAAGTAGAAAAAGTACCACTTCCGGTTATCGGAAATAGCTCAAAAGTTGATACGGATCTAAGATTTTTATAAAAAACTTATATATGAAATTTCATCCTTAGCTGTAACGGTACTCAAGTAATCGTATTTACACACAGACAGAATTGCAAAGCCCAGTTTTTCAGACTGGATTACGCATAAAACCTCTTAATTTTGGTAAATCTGGATTGATAATTTTTGCCCGATTAAAATAAGTCCTCTATACTTCGGATGTGATGAAGGACTGAGGTGTAATACGGTGAAAATTGTTAAAATTTCAAGTGATTTTTGTGGACGATTACAATACTTTCTCTATACTTCGTATATACGAGAAAGTAAAGTAAAAAGATAAATTATACATCAATAATAATCATAATAATAAATTGTATCTTCTGTTTTAAAAATTTAATCATTTTCAGCTACATTAATTAATACATTTTGTTGCTCACTTCAATTATCATAATTATGATTAACTTAATGGGTTATATAATTATTTATACAAAATTTAGAATTACATAAAATGGAATATTCAATATAGAAAAATTTTGAGTAAATATTACTTCAATGATTCAAATTATAATTGTACATTGTTGGTGTCTATTAGTGGTTAGCATTAATTATTGTATGGGTAATGTAAAGGGTAAGAATTTAGGCATCATATTTCCAAAAAACCAAAACAAAGCTAACTATAACACCTAGTACAAGATGATAAATGTGCTATGGAGACTCATGACATCCATTCTTTCCATGAAATGTTTCTTCCTTTGTGTGAATATTTTAAAAAAATATCATGTTAAATGATTTTTAATTAACTTTTTTAACATTGTTTGAATTTCACGTTTACAATATACACACATTTAAAAACATTAGTTACAAATAATACATTCATTTTACTTATCTTCAAAATGAAATGTCTAGATAACATATTAATCATTAGCAATACTTTGTATGACAAATAATACTATGAAGAGTATTATATCCTGTACAGTGTTTCTTCCAGAGTTTTTTTTTCGGGGGGGGGGGGGGGGGGTAGAGATGCCTGGAAGAAACTCTGATCCTGTATGACAAACATTAATGGTGTGTATTTAGCCTCCACAATGTGGTATTAGTACAAAAGCAATAATTTTATATACAGATAATTAAAGACCCTTGTGAAAGAGAATTTAATGACCAACAACACATTCAGGTGGCTTAAGTCCTGAGTGAAATTTTGTGTGTGTAGATAAACTAGACTTACGAGCAAACTTTTTATGATAAATGTCATTTTTTGTGACACACATCACATTCATATGGTCTCTCTGGTAAATGAATATTTTTATGCTCTGACAAATCACCTTTACGATTAAATTTTTATGACACACATCACGTTCATATAATCTATCTGGTAAATGAATCATTTTATGTTCTGATAAATGTCTTTTATGATTGAATTTTTTATGACACACATCACATCAGTGGCGGAACTAGAAAAAATGCCCCCCCCCCATATATATATATATATTTATATATAAACACAATACGAACACAGGATACTCCTTTCTGGCCTGATCGGGTTTTGGAAAAAAAAAATTCAATTAAATCTAATCACAACATGTTATGTGTATGATACTGTATGAGTGCATTGGTCTGTTTTGAAAATCTCTGTTTTCATATATGTTTAATACTTCTAATCACTAAGTCGGCCAAAAGTATATCAATCATGAAGCTTTGTATAAGTAATGGTGTCTCGGTGTTATGTTTATTTTTATGTTTTTTTTTGTATTTATATTATTAATTTTAACTACGTTTCATTTTTGTACTTTACCATTCTTTAGTAATTTTTTTAAAAAAAATAATAAGACCAGTAATTGCTGTTTAATTTGATTATTACAAATCTATTTTTTTAAAAAGAGCTTTCGAGCAACCCTATTTGACTATTTGAAAAAGAGAAATAATTTATGGAAGTGGTTTGAGCGTTTGCCTATCTTTCACACTACAGCTAATGTGTATATTTTAAAGAAAAACACGTCTTAGCTACTATATAACATCACTACAGTATTAGATCTGTCATCTGTTTGTTATTTACAAAACCACTATCAAGGTGCCAGTGACGAATATATATATATATATATATATATATATATATATATATATATATATATATATATATATATATATATATACAAAACACGCTATCATTCGTGTATTTATTTGAGACGTTTGCCTTGTTTTCTAGAACAGTGGTTATTAAACGTAAACAATGTCGGCACTTTATTTCTTGGATATTAGTTGTTGAAGCGTTAGTTTGTCTACACTACCACCGATACGAGCCAGCTTAGTTGTTGAGGCGCCATCTATTCGCTTCTTGTAAGGCTAAGAGCGGGAGGGGAGGTCTGAGAAAGGGACTTAAAAGGGCCAACGAAGTGACGATGTGCTTTTATCCATCAGTACCAAATTTGGGATGGTCTCAATAAGCCGTCTTAATATCTAGCGGCCTCTCGCGCAATTGATGTTTTTTCAAAAGAATTTTGCCGACAACAGCGTGTATTTGATTGTAGGAAAAAGAATATACAAGAGCGTGGGATGGTGTCTATAGAATAAAGATACTCCAACCGCAGCTACAGTATTCTTTTTTCAAAAAAAACCATCAAGTCAAAAATGCAAGAAAATTAATTTTAACTATAAAAAAAAATGATTATGGGCGGCTGTGCCCCCCCCCCCCCTGCATTGCGGGGTCTGGCGGCACTGTAGTTCCGCCCCTGCATCACATTCATATGGTCTTTCTGGTAAATGAATTTTTTTATGTGTAGATAAACTAACTTTATGATTAAATTTTTTGTGACACACATCACTCAATCTGGTAAATGAATCATTTTATGCTCTGATAAACGTCTTTTATAATTAAATTTTTTGTGACACACATCACATTCATATGGTCTCTCTGGTAAATGAATATTTTTATGTTCTGATAGATTACCCTTTTGACTAAATTTTTTGTGACACACATCACATTCAAATTCATATGGTCTCTCAGGTAAATGAATATTTTTATGTTTAGATAATCTAGATTTAAGGGCAAAACTTTTATGACAAACATCACATTCATGTGGCTTGAGACTTGAATGAATAGTTATTTTATGTTCTGATAAATGATATTTCTGACTAAAATTTTTATGGCACACATCACATTCATATGGTCTTTCTCCTAAATGTTTAGTTATTTTATGTTTTGATAAATGACCTTTCTGACTAAATTTTTTATGGCACACATCACATTCATATGGTCTCTCTGGTAAATGAATATTTTTATGTATGGATAATCTAGATTTAAGGGCAAAACTTTTATGACAAACATCACATTCATGTGGCTTGAGACTTGAATGAACATTTATTTTATGTTTAGATAAATCACCTTTAAGACTAAATTTTTTATGACACACATCACATTCATGTGGTCTATCTGGTAAATGAATTTTTTTATGGTCTGATAGATTAAATTTATGATTAAATTTTTTATGACACACATCACATTCATATGGTCTCTCTGGTAAATGAATATTTTTATGTATAGATAAATTACTTTTACAACTAAATTTTTTATGACACACATCACATTCATATGGTCTCTCTGGTAAATGAATTTTTTTATGTTGTGATAGATTATATTTTTGACTAAATTTTTTGTGACACACATCACATTCATATAATCTATCTGGTAAATGAATCATTTTATGTTCTGATAAATGTCTTTTATGATTAAATTTTTTGTGACACACATCACATTCATATGGTCTCTCTGGTAAATGAATATTTTTATGTTTAGATAAATTACCTTCATGACTAAATTTTTTGTGACACACATCACATTTATATGGTCTCTCTGGTAAATGAATTTTTTTATGTTGTGATAGATTTTTTTTTTGACTAAATTTTTTATGACACACATCACATTCATATGGTTTCTCTGGTAAATGAATATTTTTATGTTCTGATAGATGACCCTTTTGACTAAATTTTTTGTGACACACATCACATTCATATGGTCTTTCTCCTAAATGTATCTTTATATGTTTTGCTAAATTATTTTTAATATGATATTTCTTATTACACACAGCACATTCATATGGCTTATTAATTCCAGAATGAATATTTGTGTGTGTAGATAAACTAGACTTTGTGGTGAACTTTTTAGACAAACTAGACTTATTGTATACCTGTTCTAGGTTTATTTTGTTAATCTGTTCACCCTGACTGATCATAACAACTTCTTGCTGATGAAAATCATGACCATATGGATTCACCCTTGTGTGAATGTTTATGTGTTGTTTAACATGATCAAAATGGAAAAATCTTTGACAACACATATCACACTTGTATGTCTTCAGTCCCTTATCATTGATCTGATATTCTGTTGGGAGATTATCATTCAATTTTGCATGCAATAACTTGAGTTGTTTTAATTCATTTTGAAGATCTGATTTTAAAACTGCTAAATTTTCTTTAAAATCAGTTGAATCTGGTGGGGAAGAAAGTTGTTGCTGTGCTTTGAAACCATTTCGTTGTTCATTCTCCAAAGATGAAATTGTTAATATCTCAGGTTTTATATCTTCAAAAATTGAAAATGCTGTTGATATATTTGGTTTCATGTCTTCAGAAGATGAAAATGATGTTGGGTTATCTTGTTTCATCTCTTCTAAATTAAACAAAGGCTTTGTTTTATCAAGATTTTTATATTCTAAAGCTAAAAATGGCATTGTTTCCTCCAAGTATTTGTCTTTAACAGTTGAAAATTGTGTTGATACATTTTGCTTTATATCTTCAGAATTTGAAAAGAGTTTTGATATATTTGTTTGTACTCCTTCTGAACTTGAAATAGCTGATGTTTCATCTGATTTCATGTCCATAAATGTTATGATTTCGTCACTCAATTCCTGTTTAACCATATTTGAACACTCCCAAACTATACCATTAGTGTCCTTTGTGTTTTCCATAGCTTTAGATTGATGAATTATTGCAGAAAAAACTGAAATAAAAATAATGTTGATTAGAAAACCAAATTAAAATTTATTTTTGAAAATATATTGATTGCATTTAAAAAATTTTTAAATATTTATGTCTTAGCTTTACTATATTATTATAACACCATAGAATTTTTTAAGTCATAAAAAAGATCAAAAGGGCCTTATTGAGCTATGATAACATCTGTTTTAATAACTGAAGTGTCTTTTATCAATCAGAAGTAATATGAATAGATAGATTAATAGTTAAAAACAGTGTTCACGCCATAGCACACCATGGTTGGGTGGCACAGTGCACATCTGTTAACGAATATCCCCAGAGTTTGAATCTCAGTAGGGAACCATATATTCATGTTTTCTTTGTCTTTTGCCTTTATTAATGAAAGGGCGACTCCTTATTTTTATAAGCCATATTGTTTTTCTCTATATAATTAGTTACAGTAAAAATCTCATTTTTAAAAAAAAGCACACCTTCAAACTAAAAGAAGCCTGCAAAATTATTAATGCAAATTAATCTAATATTAATTATTAATAGGCCTATTATTTTATCATTTTCTAAATTAATAGTCCTTGATAAGATTTTCGAGAAGGGCTAGGAGTCACTAAATAAGCATTAATATTAATTATTAATCAATAATATTACTATTAGGCTAATATATGTATATTTTGAATATTTTCGGATCTTATATATAAATATAAAAAACGAGCCGCTCCGCTGCGTATCATATGCCGTTATTTAGTTGTTTTATTTTCTACTTTTCAGTAATTCATAATTTATGAATTCGACAGTACCAATGCTGCCACTGAATATATTTGCTTTGAAACACTACCAGTAGCACGTTAAGGACGATACCCCCCCTTTCCCCCCCCCCCCCCCCCGTGAAAGCAGCCTCCTCTAAGTTACCTCCCCTAAGTTTAAAATCGTTTCAAACTAAATTATCTGCCCCTAATAGCCGTCCCTTAACCCGGCTCTACGATTGTAAACATTTAGCGTGAACCACAGCTCACCAGAACATAGAGGGGTGGGGGTGGTAGGGAGCGCGCTTACAGCTTGTTTTCTAGGGTTTCCGAGAAGAGAATTATATATATAGATAGATTGTAGATCTATTAGGCCTACTAATTTCTATTACCTACCTAAAAACCTACATCTACATATTTAAAGTAAGGTATCAAATAGTAACTATCCATTTTAGCTTTAGATATATAAAAAATTATTTTAAAATCAGCTTAAGTCAAAGCTAGTAAATGTGACAGAAACCCTGTCATAGTCCCATAACTTCATAAGCCAATGGCATGATTATAGATACCCGTGTCCGATAATGGAATCATCTTTAAAAAAGGGGTGTTGGGTTGTTAGTAGTATAGTAATCTAACACCCCCTTTTTAAAGAAGATTCCATTATCGGACACCGGTGTAAACATTTGATCGTTACGAAAGCTGGTTCAGATGGCCGCAGGGAAAAAAACAGAGGGGAAAAAAATATCGCAAGTAGCACGTCACTAAAACATGAATATCTCAAATTTAATGCTTAGGAATATAAAATATTATAAAATGATTGATACATATTTATTAAGAGTAGAAAGGCAGAGGAATAATATAGTACTTTGGGTTTGTTGGATGATTTGATTATAGATACCAGTGTCCGATAATGGAATCTTCTTTAAAAAAGGGGTGTTGGGTTGTTAGTGTAGTATTGTAATCTCGACTAACTGTATGGTTAGAAATTAGGGTTAGGCGTATGGTTGGACCAGGGTTGGGGTTAGGGACAGGGTTAGCATTGACATTATCCAGCCATGTGTGTATTTAGTTAACTACCAGTAACCTAACACCCCTTTTTTAAAGAAGATTCCATTATCAGACACGGGTGTAAACATTCTCCCGGTTTGTTTCTGTGTTAAACGGTTACAAAATAGCGCCCAATCTATACTAGATCTAGAAATCTAGATCTATATTCACATATTGTGAAAAGAAAAACACTGAAGTGAAACAGGTTGAGGTTGACTCCTTACATTTAATAGATCTAAAATCTAATTATTTCACATTTTTATTTTAAGTAGGAATTATGTTTTGAGATTTACAAAAATAGTTCATTTATGTACCTGTTTTTAAACAATTTAATTAAAACTTTTCAACATGAAGACTAACGATGTTTTCATCAGATCCAACCATGCTCATTTGCTATAGCAGCCATCTTGTTTCATTTATTTTGTAGGCCTAACCTATTATTAGCGGGAGCAGGGGAAGCCACTCTTATTTTACAAATGGCTGCTGTCCTTCCAGGCTGTTCCCCCCCCCCCCCCCCCCCGAAAATTTTTTACCGTCTCCCCCCCCCCCCCCCGAACGAAATGAAATTTATATTATTTATATAGAAAATGTATACTTTTAACATTGTCTTCCCCCCCCCCCCGAGGAAAGTTTACCGCCCCCCCCCCCCGAAAATTTCAAGTGCTCCCCCCCCCCGGAGAAACATGTCTGGAAGAAACACTGTTTATATATCAAATCTGCTCGCAAACACTGCTGTTTAAAGTTAATTTCTGGCCTATAATGATATATTTAGCCTTTGATTTTGGCTTATTATTCAGTTATCTATAAGGTAAAACTCCATTTTAGCGTATTTTATTCTCATCTTGTCGTTCAACTCCAGATGAGTGCATTGTATTATAATAACCGAAACACAACAAAACAGAAAAACACGATTTAAAAAAAAAATCGAGATTTTTTTACAAATCTCGACGTTTTACACCTCACTGAGTCGGAAAAACATAATTTTGCAATGTTGTCCGTATGTCTGTGTGTATGTGTGTGTGTCTGTCTGTGTGTCTCTAAACACGATAACTTGAGTACCTTGAGTTGATGAACATTCATATATAAGTATTTTATCAAAATCGTAGATCCCTATCAACTTTTGAGCGATTTCCGATGACAGGAAGTGGTACTTTTTCTGCTATGATATTTTCAAAAGCCTATAACTTGAGCACTATTTCAGATAGGTTTTATTTTTTATTTTGGGATCCTTGTTGCGGGACGCGGGTTTGTTCACACTATACCGCGTAGACGCCCTTGAGCGTGCTGTATGAAAGCATTAAGAGTACGTTAATCATCCTCCGCAATAGTGAGGGTGAATATCTTTCGGTGACCGCCTAGGTGTCAGGGGAGTGACTGGTTACACTACCATAGGTAGCCTGGTGCAACCCTTTGTTCGGTTTAATCATCGAACGTAGAGTCCTACCATGTCCCTTTTATAGAATATTCGTGTGATTGGTGTCATCTGTACGCCGGGGGGGGGGGGCGTCGAAAGCCGCCACTGTTGCAGATTGACCTTTAAATCAAGTAGTATCCGTGACTCTAAAGTACGCAGAATCAACTGATCTTTTGCAATCAGATATCCGCTGGGTAACTCGGGCGCCCAACCTTCCCACTACTGAAGCGCTGGAGGACACCCCTAGTTCGATTTAGTAATCGATTTTAGTTTTCGTATCACTCCGTATTGTAATAGATTGACGATAGAAGCATGTGATTGTATATAAAACGTTTATTGGCCTCAACTAACATGATGGAAACGAGAGAGGGCGGAAGTGACGAGACACAAATATATATATACATATAAGGGACATCACTCAAGATAACAGTATAAATATAATACTAATACAAGAAGAGTGAGTTCCCTTGACTTCACAATTCTCACTATATTACATCCCTTTACCCTTAGTAAACACAACACATCTCTCAATAGAACAATTTACAGTATCCTAAAATCACCAAATATATTGTAACATGAACATTATGGTAGATTACATCCTTACAAACAATGCACAATATGTTACAACATAATCAAGATACAAAACAATGATGTCAAAGTCCTTTTGACCTTTAAAATCATAGGTCTAACTTATTTGGGACTTTGATTGTCCTGCTTGACCTTCTCAGTGGCTTTTGATTTGGTGACTCAAGATTCTGACCATATGGATTCTCTATCTCAGGAGGTCTAGGATCTAAATCATTAATTCCAGAATTTAAAATTTTCTGACTCTAGACTACTTGGTTCACTCATATCAACAGAACTTGGTTGTGGAACAAACTGAGTTGGTGTGAACTGATCAGATTTGGTGGCATTGATAGATTCACACTTATTATCTGCACAAGTTATTTTTAACTGGTCTGCATGTCTACGGACAATAAGTCCATCATTTGTTTTTACTTTATAAGACACAGGTCCTGTACATTGAACAATTTGACCTGGTATCCATTTTTCCCTTCTCCCATAATTTCTTAGATACACATTATCATTAACTGCAAATTCTCTTTCAATGGATGCTTTGTCATGATTTACTTTTTGTGTATGTTGATGTTGGGAAACAGACCTTTGAACAGTTGGATGTAGTAGGTCAAGATGAGTTTTAATTTTCCTACCACATAGCAATTCGCATGGTGCAACACCTGTTGTTATATGAGGAGTTGTGCGGTATTTGGCTAAGAACCTGTTTACTCTTTCTCTGAGAGAACATTTGTTACCGGTACTCATTTTTACCATAGCGGTTTTGAATATGCCTACTGCTCTTTCAGCCAAACCATTCCCAGCAGGATGATAGGGTGATGTGGTTATATGCTCAATACCATTTGCTACACAAAACAGTTTAAACTCATGAGCAGTGAAACTAGGCCCATTATCTGAAACAATTTGATCAGGTAATCCTTAAGTTCAATAATGGTATCACTTGCAGTGATTGTGTTCATGATTTTAACTTCTAACCACTTAGAATGTGAATCAATAACAATTAAGAACATTTTGTTCATGAAGGGTCCTGCGAAATCTATATGTATACGTTTCCATGGTTCGATTGGCCAGTCCCAATTTTGCAAAGGTGCTGTAGCTGGTTGATTTGCATGTTGTGCACAGCTTGAACAAAGCTTTACATATTTTTCAATATCAGCATCCATATGTGGCCACCAGAACCACGAGCGTGCAAGACTCTTCATTTTGGAAGAACCAAGATGAGTATCATGTAAAGTTCTTAAAACTTCTTTTTGTAACATTTTGGGGATAATAACTCTTGACCCCCATAGTATACATCCATCTTCTAGACTTAACTCTGTTTTTCTTATTGTATATGGCTTTAAGTCATCATTCACTGACTCTTCAGGCCAACCATTTTTACAGTACTCATATACTTTTATTAAGCACTCATCTTTTTGTGTTTCTCTTTTAATATCATTCACATCTATATTGGAGTTATCCATGATAGTGAAGAGAACAAATACATCTTCTGGTACATAACTAAGGCTTTGGTTTTTTAAAGGTAATCTACTAAGACTATCTGCACTATTCTCAGATCCAGGTTTGTATTTCAATTCATAATTGTATGCAGTTAGTGTGATAGCCCATCTTTGAATTCTTGGTGAGGCATGCTCAGGCAGGGGTTTGTTTTCCCCAAATAAACCTAGCAATGGCTTATGATCTGTAAAGATGGTGAACTTCCTACAAAACAGAAACTTATGAAATTTCTTAACACCAAAAATGATGCTTAAGCCTTCCCTATCTAACTGAGAATAATTTTTCTCAGCCTGGTTCAAAGATCTACTGGCAAAAGCAATGGGTCTGTCACCCTTTTCATCCATGTGGGACAAGACTGCTCCTACACCATCTGGTGAAGCATCACATGTCAAGACAAGTCTTTTCCCTGGGTCATAGTGAGTTAGTAAGGTGTCAGAAGACAAAGCTTCTTTTGCTGTATTAAAAGCAGCATCTTGTTGTTTACCCCAGTGCCAAGTTGCATTTTTCTGCAGCAGCTTGTACAGTGGTGATAATCTACCAGACAGATTCCCTATGAACTTTGCATAGTAATTTATCAAGCCCAAAAAAGCTCTTAGTTGTTGGGTATTTTCAGGTTTGGGTGCTTCTTTAATGGCTTTTGTTTTCTCAGGTTGAGGTCTGAGACCTTGCTTACTTAATATATAACCAAGAAAACTAATTTCTGTCAGCATGAATTGACATTTATCTTTGTTTATCTTTAAACCTTTTTCACCAACTATTTTCAAGACTTTATCTAGTGTTTTAAGATGTTCAGTGTCATTCTTACCAGTTATGTACAGATTGTCAAAGTAAACACAAACATTTGGAATGTCCTTAAAAATACTGTCCATGACAGCTTGGAAAATTCCAGGACTAGATGATATGCCAAAACATAGTCTTTCATATTGGTAGAGTCCTTTATGTGTGTTTATTGTCGTATAGACTTTTGAATCTGGATGCAGTTCTAGTTGAGTGTAAGCATGACTAAAGTCTAATTCAGTGAATTTGTCTCCTCCTGCCAAATTCAAAGAAATTTCCTCAATGTTAGGAATAGGGTACCTATTTAGCTCTATTTGCTTATTCAGTGTAGCTTTATAGTCTCCACAAATTCTTACAGAACCATCCTTCTTTAACACTGGCACAATGGGCGTTGCCCAATCGGAATAGTCTACCTTCTTTATGATGCCATTAGATTCCAATCTACTTAGCTCATTTTCAATTTTATCCCTCATTGCATAAGGCGGAACTCTAGCTTTGCAGTATCTTGGATTTGTGTCTTTAATGCTTATCTTCACTGTTCTATCATTTAGTAATCCTGAATTACCAAAAACACTTTCATTTTCAGATATAACTTTATCTATTGAAGTAAAACTAGATTCTCTTGCTTTGATCACTGAAAATATACTCTCCCAATTTAACTTAAGATCAACTAACCAGTTCCTACCTAGTAATGGTGGTCCATTTCCTTCAACCACAAGAAGAGGAAGTTTAACACTTTGACCATAATAACTTACATGAACCATACACTCTCCTATCACCGGAACATTGTCACCAGTGTATGTTGTTAGACACTTGTGACATGGTTGTAGAGGCACTGATCCTCCAGTGACAGCGTCAAAGTCCTTCTTTGTGATGACTGTTAGAGATGCTCCAGTGTCAATTTGGAAGCTGATGCTCTTACCGTTAATATTAACTAGTACATTGATGGGAGCATGACTTATTGATTTCACAGAGAACAGGTTGAAATCCGGCTGCGAATCAGTTTGAGCATTTTCACAGGTAGAGTGGTTCATTGGTTGGGTTAGGTAGTCTTGGTGAGAGTTAACATAGTGCTGCCTTTGGTTGCGGTACTGTCTTGACTGGCTAGATTTAGCAACAGACGAAGACTTTGCAAAGCAGGCCTTGGCAATGTGA